TTCAGAAACACTATATATTATTATTTGTTTATTGTTTTTATACTACGTTAGCTTATTATACTACATAAAAGCTTAATATGTCCAGTTTTGGTTCGACCTCTAACGAAATATACCTATTTGTGATCTCTAAAAATTCCCTCACTCACTCACTCGTCGGACCATTATCTTTATCTTTGATAGCACGTTTGGCTCAATTTCTAGTGATCCTACTTGCTGTGCCAGCGGTCGCGGGTTCGAGTCCCGCTGGGGGCACTCATTTGCGTGATGTACGAATGTTTGTACTCCAATCATGGGTGTTCATATTTATAATATGTATGTATTTAAAGTTATATATGTGTAATGTATCAACTATCTGGTATCCATAACACAAGCCTCGTAGCTTACCATGGAACTAAATAGTGCTGTGTGTTAATGTCCCAACATATTTATTTATTAATTATCTATACTATCCCATCGCTCTATTTTCTAAGCCAGCGAAAACTCGGATGCAAATTTAAAGGGCCTCAGTGAAAAGACATGTTTCCTCACGATTTTATCCTTCGCCGTAAGACAAGTGGTAAACATATTGGAAATGATTCACACATGGAAATATATGCGAGACCCGGGATTTAAACCCCTTTCACTCGGTTTCCCAAGAGAGCGCGTTACTGGACTATCACTGTGACATTTTTATGTAGAACTAGCATTGCCCGCGCGGCTCCGCCCCCGTTAAGATGACTAAAAACCAAATTCTTAGGTTTTACACATTAGTATACTCTTACATTGCAGTTTTTGTATTTTTTCTCCAAAATGAGATATTTTCCAGCGGTAAAAAGTATCCTATATGTTGACCCGGATAACCAGCCATACCAAATTTCATCAGAATCCCTCCAATGGTTTTACTGTGATGCGGTAACAGACAGACAGACAAAAATTCTAAAAACTATAGATTCGGCCTCTGTATCAATAATAATGTCTATTTGAATAAGATTTTCCAAAAAATATCTAATGTACAGATTCGGCTTATTTACAATTTTATTATATGTATGGATTAAGTAATATGCTAATTTGTATATGCATACCTATATTATTATCTCTTTTCCACACAGATATTATAAATGTCTTTTTTCTTCTGTATGAAAAAGGCAAAAAAAATTTTTTTGATATATTATCCACTCAGTGGTTGCCGGAGCCCGGAGCTCATACTTATAAATAAAACCCGGCCATAGTAAAACTAACAAAAACACATTTATAATATTAGTATCGTTTAGTAATAGTTCTATTGTAAGAGCAAAGATAATTGAATTTAATAAAAGAAAATAATGCTGCCAAAATAATAACGTTTTCGACCTTTCGAACTATTAAGCACATAAAATGGATAATATAACTGAAAACAGCCATCGTTAGTTCTGAAAACTGCCGCTAGGGAAAATCTAATCAGCGCCAATACCCTAAGGTTACATCACGTGATACTGTGTTGCAGTCGCCAGTCGGCACTCAAGACGACTTAGCAGTCCACAAAATATTATAATTACAGCTTAACTCCAGACGAAAATGAGACTTGTAATAAAGGATGTTCAAAATCACGCTAGAAATCATTTCATTTCAAAAACAAGTTTTTAGTTCAGCATTTTAATTTTATCATTTCGAGATTCTTAGAGTTCAGTATAGAGCTATATAATATATAGAAACTAGCGACTCACTCTCCCTTCGCTCGGGCTTGTCCCTAGTTACGTTTTTACATTTAGTATAGATTTCTCAGAGATGAGATATTTTCTCGCAGTAAAAAGTATCCTATATGTTGACCCGGATAACTAGCCATCATACCAAATTTCATCAAAATGTGTCCAGTGGATTTCTTGTGATGCAGTCACAGACAGACAAAAATATTAAAAACTGTATTTTCGACCTCTGTATCGATAATAATTACTATTTCAATTGGAATTTCCAAAAAATATTTAATGTACAGATTCGGCTCAGTTAGAATTTTATTATATGTACCTATAGATGTAGGTACACTGGGTAAATGGCCTCCGTGGATTATATTACTCATACGCACTCTTTTGTTGAAATTGTCCATGACCAATTTGCGTAAAGGTGACTTGTTAACATAGCGCTTGATTTGCTTCTAAAAATTCTAAAGGTTCAAAATAAATGTCACTGCGAGTTATATCTTGGAACATCCGTTTTAAAAGATATATTTCATAAAGTAGTGACTCACTCGCTTCCCATGGGTTCGTCTATAAGTAATTCTTTAAATTAACATATATTTTTTATTTATGAGCCGTTTGAAATGAAACAAATACTCAATATTAAGTGAAGCTTATCACAATACTTTAGTGAAAACCGCACCCAAATGGGTTAAGCTGTTTCTAATATTAACTTCCATATACACATACAGACAGCGATCAGTTACACTTTTATTATATGTAAAGATGGCATTTGAGAGCGTTAGTTACGAGGATAACGAACCTCTTTGGAGGTTAAACTGGAGGCCATTTGTAAACGAAATTATATTCTTGCGTTTGTCAATTCATCGGAAGTTTGTACTCAGGCGAAGCCGCGGGAATACATACGACATATTTTAATTGTGTATTCACACTCTTTTAACGTCCCACTGCTGTAAATTTTATCCTGCAACCTATTATTCAGTCTGAAAAACGACATACAACCCTAAAAATTATAAATCTCAGGTTATTGAAGTTAAGCTGTGGTCTATCCATTGTTAATGTTTTCACTTAAAATACTCTTTCAAACAACTTGTGCTATTATTTTGCAGTTTGCTCCATTTGCCCCATTCCCTTATAATTTAAGGGAATGGGGCAGTAAAGAGGCTATATTATAAAGAGTTTTAATAGTAAAAACCAAAATTTTTAATGTAACATTTAAAGTGTACACAAACAAGTAGAGAGACTAACGCTTAGCACGATCGGGGCTTTGGGTGCGATAAATCGCGTTTAGTTCTTTATAGCGCTACTAGTAAAGTATTTCCATCTTCATAAAAATAACCAAGTAACGGTCATAAAGTTTCTCTATTCAAGTGCGTTCACCGACTGCTTTACTGTTGAAATAAATAAGTTTAAACTGCAGTTTAAATTTTATAAAACTAAAAATTGAGTTATAATTTATCCATTATTTAGTTTTACCGATTCACTTTCTAGTTAAACTTAGCTATTACAGATAATATTCTACAATCATTGAAGAATAGAAATGAATAACAATTGTATTGAAGTGATAAATATAATCGTTATGTCATATCTAGATATAATATAAATAGCCAAAGACAAACAGGTCAGTACTTTTTTCTCCTCTGTTTGTCAACCGATTTTCATATATTTTCAACCGACTTCAAAAGGAGGAGGTTCTCAATTCGACTGTATGTTTTTTTTTTATGTTTGTTACCTCAGAACTCCGTCATTTATTAACCGATTTGGACAATTTTTGTTTTGTTTGAAAGGGTATACTTCCAGATTGGTCCCATTTAAATTTAAAAAAAAAATACCACCCCTAAGGGTGGAAAAACAACGAATGATGAATTTAACCTACTTCTAATTGTCATATTGACTTGAAACTTTGCAAGTATTTCTATTTCTGTTGATAAGTACAGTGGTTCAGTGTTGTTGACCTGATCTGATGGCAAGGCCAGAAGGTGGTTAGGTGGAACTCTTCAACGGCTAATAGTAGATACTTTGAGTTTGGGCTTATTTTGTTTGATTTGACAAGCCTAACACGTTAGAATCCTTACTTTGCTACAACTGTCTACACTAAAAAGGGAAAAATAAAAACTTTTTAACAAAAAAATAAAAACCGACTTCAAACAAAAGCACTAAAAAGTAAAAAATAACTGATTGGTAGTTTTCATTTACTATACATACCTAATCAAATATTTTTGAAGTCGGTGTGCTTTGGCTAAGTAACTAAAGCCTACCTATTAAATACATACCTAATCAAATATTTTCGTAATCGGTGCCAGCCCATACAAAGCAAAGCACACCGACTTCGAAAATACTTGATTAGGTATGTATAGTAAATGAAAACTACCAATCAGTTATTTTTTACTTTTTAGTGCTTTTGTTTGAAGTCGGTTTTTATTTTTTTGTTAAAAAGTTTTTTATAAATATATAATAGGTGATAAAATGGTCGAATACTAATAATTATAATAAGTCATATACGAATACTTATTTAGGTTTCTATTCTACAAAAATTGTAGAATTACATCTTGTTTATATCCTCTAATTTGCCTTTTACCACGGAAATATCAGTTAAAATCGAGTCAAAGGCATTCTGTAAATAAGCGAGTACAAAACTACGAAATATACGAACTTAATATGTGATAATCATTTTAAAATCAGCGAGAGGCACTTTATTAGTGTAGAAGTTTAGATAATGATTCATGCTAGCCATTAGCTACTATACCGACCGAGACAAAACATGCAATGAATTTGAGTAAGTCCTACATACATATTGTCTTTTGAGATACTACTTTAGTTATATTTTTTAACTTTCGTAGATGAACTTTAATAATGTAAACAAACTACAGTTAAGATCGAGTGCGTTTCTCATTGCAACTTAACGTAACTTGCGTAAATATGCTATCGACTTTCTGTTGCAAGTGTTTCGAGACAGTAGATTGTCAGTGTGTCAACACACTGCGAGCACATAGATCGAGCGCGCTTGTCTGGTTATAGCTTAACTAGATATTTAGTTAAAATTAAGTAGAAATAACTTAATTTGTGACAAAAATAACTGATTTTTCAGGAAACAAGGTTAAAGTGGTATTTTATGTTGCGCACGCGCAGTGCTAAGTGTCGTAAAGTGAAAACAAGTGCGGCGGAACCAAATGATCTATCGCGTCTAAGTATTTACATCTAGTAATGATATATTAAGGCGATGTAGTTATTATGAAATTTGTTACCTGTTATACATAAAAGTGACTGGAATTGAAATGGATTAATCGAAAATAATATGAAGAAACAAATATGATTTTTTAATTCAACTAAGAAACAAGATAATTGACAGAAATGAGAAAAAATATTTGTAATTTACTACTGTGGTTAGTTTTTGTACAACCATCTCGGAGTATATTGACGCCATTAGTGCATATAAGTCAAGGCAAACTGCGGGGTCTACGTTTATTTGGGCAAAATAGCTACTTAAGTATACCTTATGCGACTAGCCAAAGATTCCAGGTTAGAATTCAGTCCAAGCACACTTTCTAATTGTTTTATAGAATTACCTCGCAGGAAAATTTATGGAAAAATTCGATTGATTGAAATTATTGGATCTCTATAATAGCGTCATCTACCGGGTCGACCTTCAGCTGAAAACCTTCCGGTGACCCTATAAATATATAAAACAAATTCTTCAAAACCGGTTAAACCGTTTAAGAAGAGAAGAATTATGCTCAATAGCTCACGCTCACACGAATGTTATATATAAAAATAAATTTTAAAATAGTTTTTCATCGAATCGTGGCTACTTGTCTGATATAGACACTTAGCCATTTTATAAAATGTCTATACTTACAATTTTTTATTATTCTCTTGAGATTTATGATTGATGTAAGTTTTATTAACAAATTGTCGTTTAATCGACCGTGACGCCGTCCACCTGGTTGGTAAGTTTAGTAGACATCGGAGGACACGGGTTCATATCAATTGCTAAGTAAATGTTTATAATATCCGGTCAGCGTATATATTAGTTCAGCCTGCGGATTCAGAAAATGAGATAATGACGTTCGACTTTTACGAGAAGAAATTTTCAAAATTGTATTGAAATGACAAATTACCACTTCTATTTATCTTTCTTCAATGTTGACATAACACTTAATGTGAAAATTTTACCAAATTATACTATTCTTCAATGCGCTTAAATTAAATATAGTAATTAAAATACAATTAAAGTTTACAAAGGTGGACTTATCTCTAGAAGAGATCTCTTCCAGCCAACCTGTGGTAGTGACTAGTGAGAGCCTCAGCTTCGGTAGGTACTAAAAAGAACTATCGAACTAGCTTTGATATCTTAAACGCAGCTTTACCTTTGCGTATTTAAGATAATATTGGCTCAAGAGCATGTCGAAACATACCTATGTATATTAGCAATGGTCCTACTACTTGCACTTGGTTACACAACCACGCTAATATTTATATACTAGCATTGCCCGTGGCTCTGCCCGCGTTCAGATGACAAAAACCAAATTCTTAGGATTTACAGATTAGTATATTGCAGTTTTTGAATTTTTTCTTAGAATTTAGATTAAATTATTATTAAAATAATCCTATATGTTGACCCAGATAACCAGCTATCACCATACCAAATTTTATCAAAATCCCTCCAGTGGTTTTTCTGTGATCCGGTAACAGACAGACAAAAATTCTAAAAACTATATAATCGGCCTCTGTATCGATAATCTGTATGTATATTTCAATAAGATTTTCCAAAAAATATTTAATGTACAGATTCGGCTTGGTTACAATTTTATTATATGTATAGATAATATTTCATCTTTATGGTAACTAATCATACAAAAATATTACCAGATAAAAAAAATATCTATCATTTCTAAGATTATACAGGTGTTTTCCATCAATATGGGTGATGCAGAACTTTGGGTATAAGTGTCTTTGGGAAAAAGAAAGAATAGTAATTATTCTTTCTTTTTAAAATACAAACTAAAGTCCTGAAAAGTGTAATGTCCAACTAAACTAAATCAGAAAGATTTTTGTTTTCATTCAACACACAGACAAAGACGCGGTTTGTCCTTATATTACTTTTCCAAAATGATACCCCCACAAAACTAAAAGCATATGATTTTCACAATTTTATTAAACGTCCTCGGCATTCCACACCCCTTCATTAGTTCTAATCCTTATCGAGGCCTTAAGCAATAATAACTTACACCCCATTCAATTTTTTAGCTTCCAAAAGATCCTTCAAAATGGCACGGAGTCTATCATGCTGTAAATCCATTCGTGAGATGCCCACAATTGATGTCCTTTCTTACGACTGGGAACGAAGACTGTCTATATCTCGACGTTTATACTCCAGAAAAGATCAAACAAAAAGACAAACTTCCAGTTATGGTATTTTTTCACGGTGGAGCCTATTTTAAAGGTAGCAAAGAACTTTATGACCCATATTATCTTGTCACCAAAGGCGCAGTAGTAGTAACTGTCAATTATAGACTAGGTGTCCTAGGATTCTTATGTCTGAATGGTATTTCCAACCTAGGATTGAGAGACCAGGTGGCAGCTTTGGAATGGGTTCGAAAAAATATTGCTTCATTTGGTGGAGATCCAAATAATGTAACGCTTTGGGGGCAAAGTGCCGGTGCCAGTTCCGCAGCACTACATCTGTTATCCGAGAGAAGTAAAGATTTATTTCACAAGGCAATTTTGATGAGTGGAACAGCGCTCTCCACTTGGGCGTTTAACATCGAACCTTTTAAACCTGCATTAGAGGATGCGAGGAAAATATCTCCTGCGAGAACTGAACATGATGTGTATCGTATATTTGCTCAAACGTCTTTACCTACACTTCTGCGTGTCACATATGACAATTCCGTAAATCCAAGATACTTTAAGTACTCACCGTGTGTGGACAGCAATTTTACACAACCATTTTTCAATGACACCCCATATAGCATCCTCAAATCGGGGCAATTTAATAAAGTGCCTATAATAGTAGGGTACACAGACAACGAAGGAGGATTTTTCTATAGGCTGTTAAGTGATAAATCAGCAAAAGATTTAAATGAAAATTTTAATTACATGCTACCCTGTGTATTTTCTTGGTGTTCAGATGAAGAAAGGCGTGAAATCGGGGCCACTATGCGATCACATTATTTTGGTAATAAAGTTATTGACTACAGTACGTCAGCCGAAAGCTTAATAGATTTCTATTCAGACTGGATAGCGTACGGGTCGATTAATGCATTTTCAAGAATAATTACCCAATTTTCTGATAAACCAGTCTACAATTATCAATTTTCTTATGTTGGCGGCCGGAATTTTGGGAAGGCGATATCGGGACTATACTTTAATGGGACAACTCACGCGGGTGAATTGTTCTACCTATTCAGACCACTGGGAATTTCTCTTCCATTATTGAACAGCGACAAGAAAATGGTAGAAAGAATGACGACATTGATACATAATTTTATGTTAAATGAGTAAGTCAAGAGAGAATATTTATTTTACTTTTTTACTCACGTCTATTACACATAAAGTTGTTTGCCTTCAGTTAACAAGCGCAGTCACCAGAAATCAGAAATGTACATCCTATTATGTTATATTATATCCATACTAATATTATAAATGTGGAAGTGTGTTTGTTTGTTTATTTATTTATTTGTTTGTTTGTCCTTCTTTCACGTCGAAACGGAGTGACGGATTGGCGTGTTTTTTTGTGTTGAGATAGTTGGAGGGCTGGAGAGTGACATAGGGTACTTTTTACCGCAAGAGTTTACCTAATTTCCACGGGAAAACACGTTATAATACAATCCAAAAAAATGATCAGAATTACTCGAAACTTGGTAATAACGCTCTTCAATAAAATGAAATAAATACATGTTTTAGCATTTTTCTAAATTCATCCTATAAGAGGGTAAAATAGAGAATGAAAGTTTGTATGAAACTACCTTTATAGAGATTTTTTTGTACTTTTAGCGCGAGCGAAACCTCGGGTACTGCTAGTAGATTATATATCTTTCATATTACAGAAATCCAACTCCAAAGAAAACGAGTTTGTTGCCTCTAACATGGCCTTCGGCAGCGAAGAATCAATCAAACATTTTAGTCCTAGACAAACAGTTGCATGTGATCGATCATCCTCGAAAGGAGCAGCGAGGGGACTTCTTTTTGAAACTTCTATGTACTTACGGCAAAAGTGGTTACGTGCCCTGCGAAAGTGCTGAAAGGTGTCAAAGTAAATAATGCGAATAATAAGTATTTTAAGATTTCCCAAATAAATGAAATTAAAAAATATAAGTTTTTATTCTACTAGATCTTTGCTATTGCAAATTAAAGCAGGCAAAAAAATTAAAATAGTTTATTGGTAGAATTCCAAATAGGAATAGGTAGGTAGTAGGTACTAATGTCGAGTGTATGTTTTCTATTTTTTTTTTTAAACGATGAAAATTCATGTGTTTTTTACTCTGTTACACTTTATAGTGATTCATGTAAAATTTAAGCGCAATTTACACTCGTGAGAATAGAATAATTACAAAGTTATTTTTACTTACAAAATAATTTTTATATATCAATTCGCTTCTATTTCTTTAAAGAATACCTCAGTCCTTAGCACAATATTTAAAAAAATAACGCACAATTTTAACCCATCATAACTATATTACCTCCATGTATAGATGAAAAATACTGTTTTAATATGAAACAATCCTATCTTCAACGGATTTTTTTATTGTATCATTTAGGTAAATTATGATGTCTATCGTCTCGCGCCATTACAATGCTCCAAATATCAAATTGTAGACTAAATATGGAAATAGTAACTTTATTACAACCAAACATCCACAGATAACGAATCATTGAATAATTATGATAATTGTAAAAAAATTTGGGGGAACAGATTCGATAAAATAAAAATGTAAAATGTTACTGTGATTGGGGCCCGGGGCGGGCGGGCGGCGAGGGGCGGAGCCCCAGTGATTATTGGTAATTTATGTCACCGTCGGCCTCACAAGGTCTCGCCGGCGGTGGAATTACAATATATTTCCTGTTGCAGCCCGACATTTCTTTTATTCCAGTTACGTAACGGGTTTAGGTACATTAAGAATAATATCGATTCGAATAACTAGTTTGCACTATTACTATCATTTATATTTAATTTTTTATTAATTTTATTAAACACTAGCATTGCCCGCGGCTCAGCCCGCGTTCAGATGACCAAAAAGCAAATTCTTAGGTTTTATATATTAGTATACTCTTACAATGCAGTTTTTGTATTTTTTCTCAGAAATGGGATAATTTCCCGCGGTAAAAAGTATCCTATATGATGACCCGGATAACCAGCTATCACCATACCAAATTTTATCAAAATCCCTCCAGTGGTTTTTCTGTGATGCGGTAACAGACAGACAGACAAAAATTCTAAAAACTATAGATTCGGCCTCTGTATCTATAATAATGACTATTTCAATAAGATTTTCCAAAAAATATTTAATGTACAGATTCGACTTAGAATTTTATTATATGTATAGATTTCTATGTGAATTGGGCTTTTATAGATTGTGTTCCAACGTAACGGCGTTCTTCTTTTCTTCTCTATGTCCTTTTAGTAAGCTACGTGGCATCGGCACAGCACATTTCTTAGATCCACTTCCTACTATAAGCTATCATCTCAGCACACGCCTTTCACACGATCGATCCGTACTTTCCTTGGTCTACCTCTTCTTATATATCCATGCAACTATTATATGTACAATAACAACATACGAAGTTATAAAAATAATTCGCAAAAGATCAATTTCCATAGAAAGACGGCTTTTCCACTAACATAGATACATACCTTTAACACAAATAAATCGCAAACGTCGAATGAAGAATTCTAAAAGAATTTTATTATAAAATAATTCAATAACCGTTTCATTGAGATGAGTCCGTACGAAATACTCGCAAGTTTCTATCAATGTTTGACCAGAGTGCCTCGAGTCTGGATCAGGCAGAATTGAATGAAAACATTGAATATTTATCTTCAGAAGGATTGCTCCCAGGCGACAGAGCTAGTGTTTACTGTACTGGAAAGATAGAACTAAGCACAGTGACAGCACGACCCATAGATAGCAGAATTTCATATCGTCTCAATGGAATTTTAAGCTACTGCAGAGATTTTTAAAGCAAAAACTTAAAAGTACTAGAATCTTTATCATTTAATATTTAATAACTTTTTGTTAATCAGGTCTGAGAGTAACAGATGCTAGTTTTTTACTATCCAGCAATAAGTATGGAGAAGTAACCAAACTATCTGTTAAACATCTGTTTACATTATAATAAGACTATAATATAAGGAGGCACCCAGTGGTAACACGCTCACTTGAGAAACCGAGTAAAGCGGGTTCAAATCCCGGGTCTCGCACCTCTGATATTTTCATGTGCGAATTATGATTTCTGGTTTCAATGTTTTAAAGTTACAATGAAAATAGCTTATATCATCTGACGCTCCTCGATAATGTAGCTTCAGTAGTTTCAGAGATTGCATACATCCAAACTTACAAACTTTACCGTTTTATAATATATTTTTTTTTTTTTTTATGTCGGGAAATGCATTTACGCATACCACCTGATCCCCCAGGTGTTGATGTGGGGCTCACCGGCTAGAAGAGCCGGTACTACCCACTAAAACCCGACATTCCCCTCCCCTCCGCCTTAATGGGACGCCGCAGGATCGCTTGCGCATAACTACTACGGCGCCCCGGCGGCAGGTCTGCCCAAAAAGGCAGACCACCAAACCAATGGGGCTGCTCCACAGTCAACTCTGCTACGCCAGAGAGGTACCCGGAGCAGCCCCATTAAACCTAACCATCGCCCACCGAAGTGGGCCACCTCCAATCGGCTGCAGAGGACAGGGAGAGCGGCAACGAAACACCGACACTCCTCTTCCCCTGCAGCCCCACCGCGTCCGCCATCGAACGGTGGCGGCCCCGTCTAGGCCGCGGAAGGTAGGGAGAACGGCGCACCGAAATACCGGCACTCCTCTCCCGCCGCGGCCTACTCCTCCGCCGGATGCGGGCCTGCGACCACAGTCCCGCAACCGGCACCCATCATCCGGTTGTGGGACCAAGCGGTCCCACCACCGGTGGCCGCAACGTCTTCGGCTCTAGTCCTAGACGAGCGGCCCCATCCAAGCCATTTGGTCCGCGCCGGATTTCTCCGGTACCACCCGCCGCCCTAAGCGGGTGGCATTCCCCTATCCGCCACCTGGGGACGCGCCCGGTAGGAGTTGGCTTCTCCCCCGGGAACCATTTTATAATATTAGATTAACTACTCTATTTTTTTTTACGTAATATTTTTTTAAAGTTTTTATTTTACGTAAGACTAACAAGGCTTTTATTATAAATTAATCATCTTTCAATTAAAAACAAGGACGATAATAAATAATGATAAAATAATATTGTAAGTATATTTTAGAAAGCAAAATTATATTTCTTCGTATTAATATTACCTACCGTAGTAATTATCAAGGTCTCGAAGGATCAAAAGTGTAGATTTTATATTCTTCTTTCATAATATTTCAATACCCTTAATGAGCTTTTAGACTCCCGCTTTATTAATCTACATAGAAATTTAGTATACATTTATTTACAAATTTACATCATTTAATACAATTCAATATTCTTGTTAATGGCGTCAAAACGTACCAGTTTTTAGCACAATTAACCGTTTTTAAACCGAGAACTGGCCAAGTACTTATATTTTAACGAAAAAAAATACCTTTCGGTATTCACTTTTTTTAAATATTATATATCTAAGTAATATATATCTTTAAGATCGTTATTAGGGAATATGCTTTTTTATTTTTTTTATACTATAACTTACATCGTTATATAATTATTAAAAAAATATCCAGCTCAAAAAAAAACAAAAATTTAGTTTTTTTTTTAATATTACACCGATACGGATACTTTAAACGCTCGTCATTTCGCGCGTGGCGTGACGTCACAGTATGATATACACAGGGAAATGATGGCTCAATTTGTAACGACAAAATCGCTAATCGCTCTGCTATGATATACTGTGACGTCATATTCAGTTTGACCAATGGCGTGCGTTTCAACTACTTTGAATGTAGCACTTTATATAGGCACATTTTAATAATTATTCTCTTAATCAAAAAGAAATTACATTAAAAAATAATGATATAGACTTAATTCAAAAGAAATAAAGATAATAAAAAAAACACCTTTATTTAAAAAAAAATATTTTATTTAAATCACACGTATATTCCCTATCTCTCTTTTGGTAAAAGTATAAAAAGAGCCGTACTCTCCTCATATATCATTTTAGTCCCAATAACACTTCACTTTAGTTTTCACTAGGACTAGAAGCAAGAAGTCAAATTAATGCCGCCGATATAATTTACTATAATATAAATAATATATCATATTGGCACAATACATGAACAGTATATTTTTTCACTAATTTATTAAAATACTAGCATTGCCTGCGGCTTCGCCCGCGTTCAAATGACCAAAAACCAGAATCTTAGGTTTTATACATTAGTATATTTTTACATCGTAGTTTTTCTATTTTTTCTCAGAAATGAGATATTTTCCCGCGGTAAAAAGTTGTTCCTATATGTTGACCCGGAGAAGCAGCTATCACCATACCAAATTTCAACAAAATCCATCTAGTGGTTTTTCCGTGATGCGGTAACAGACAGACAAACAGACAGACAAAAATTCTAAAAACTATAGATTCAGCCTCTGTATCGATAATAATATCTATTTCAACAAGATATTTCAAAAAATATTTCATGTACAGATTGGGCTCAGTTAGTATTTTATATGTATAGATATTGCTCGATCAAAATCGGTCTATTGATTTCCTTGATTCCTTATTTGATGCAATGTACTTTCATGATATAATTAATCATTTAAATTATAAGTACAAGATATCATCTAACTCAAAATCCTAAAAGCACGGGTTACAAAGTATAGAGTATTTTCTTAAAAGTCCAATTTAGTATACAAACAGACAGAAGCACTTTCACAACATCTCAGTTTTTCCAATCCATCACATAACCAAACAATGTATCCGAATGCTTTTAGAAAATTGCAAAGTATAAAATTAAGTAGTAACTGTTATAAATTAGCGAATTCAATAACAATTTGGATAGCTATTTAAATTAATGGCTTTTACTTTAATAGATAATATAATACATATCTATATAAATTATATTAAGAAGTTCCAAATTA